CCTATCCATGATCATGGTATGTTTTTCCGTTTATGTAGATCCCTTTGGGTTTCATGCAGTAGTGTTTTGTAGTTTTCTTTGTATAGGTCTTTTACATCCTGCTTGTATATCTTGATTTGAGAGATGTTTATCTGCTTTCCAGACTAGCTACTGTCAAGAAAACAAAATGTGGGTAGGCTGGTATGAATTGATCTTTGTGACCTATTCCCTTGCCAGCGACCCATTTGGCAATGTTTTAAAATCGTATGAAACATGGACAAGATCATTTGGTCCTTATGCTTTATTACATCCATCTCTGTCCAATTTTAGAAAACCAGAGCCACATTTTCTTGTTACTGGTCTGCTTGCATTTCTTCTGTTTTCCACAAATCCTTAGTTTTCCTGATCCTTGAAATTCTTACATAGCCCTCCTTCTAGGAATAGGGGAAATGGAAGTAAAATACTTGTTGAGCCATGCTGTCCTCCATAATCAGAGATGTTTGGGTTTAAGCATTAAAATGAAAGGGGAAGGGGAGAGGCCACTAGGTTTTTGAGCTAAGGATTGAGATGATAAAAGTTGTGTTTGGGGAGTATTACTTTTCCAAATGAGATATATATGAAGGTTCAGGTAATACAGGATCACAAGATAATAAAATCTTTGTTTTAATTCTAAGATACTTTCTGTGCCTCAGTTTTCTCATTATAAAATAGGAATAAGAGTATTACCTATCTCACAGAGTTGTTATGATAACTAAACGATATAATGTGTGTAAAGTGCTTAGAACAGTGCCTGGCATAGTAAGTGCTATGGAAGTTATTGTTATTATCCACTGAATGTATACAAAAATCTATATGGGTATAAACATTTCTGAATGTTAAGGCTTGATCAGTTGAATTCCATTTTACAAGGCTTTTTTTAAATATATATTCTCATTATAATTACGGTAGTTCCGTGAGATGTAAATATGAGTGCCTGAAGTTCCTTATCTATAAAACAAAGATAATTATCTACTCACAGCCACACAGTGAGAAGGTAGCAGTCCTGATTTCTGGTTTCTTAACGGTTACTTATCTCTTCTGAGCCTAAGTTTCTTCATCTGAAAAATGTGGGGGTTTGGTTGATCTCTGGGTCCTTTTGTAGGTCTAGAATAGTTTGAAATTTTGATATGGCTTTGATATGGCTTGCATAATCCCGAAACCTGCCACACAAGGAGATTTTTGGATATATCTCTAGGAGCTTTGTGATTTGGAAGTGTGGTTAGTCAGGTTCCCTGGGAAGCAGACTGAGAAAGAACTCTGCTTGCAAGAAGTTTACTGAAAAGTGCTCTCAGGAACAACCCCTATTGGGGAATGAAAGAAACAGAGTTGGGTAGGGGGAGGAATTGAACTGTGATGCAGTTGCAACAAAGGCCTCAGCCAGTCCTGCAGCGAGCTCTGGAGCTGGGATGGCTCTTCAGAATTCTCTCAAGTTGGCTGAGGGAACTGGGACTTCATACGGGTCCCAGACTAGGCATCAGCTAGTCATTGGATATGGGCCTTTCCTGGGATGGGCTGTAGTGTTGGGTGAAGTTGTTTTCACTGGCTGAGCACAAGTCCTGGAGAGGGACTTAACTGAGAGCTGTGGCCACCATTTCTCTGCATCTGGGGGAATGAGTCTTTCAGTCTTGGAGGGGGAATCTGGAAAGCACACCCTGGCATCCACTGTAGGTGCAAATCTGACCTGTAAAGAAGAAGCATGGCTGTGCTCAATTAAAATTCAGAAGAGCAGAAGGACACAATGATGCATGAGGTAAACTTAAGATTTTGCTTTAGGATTTAACTATTATCTTTTCCATTGTCCATAGTATCATGCAATTGCTTGGCGCATTTCCTTCACCCAGTGGTCCTGCCTCTTCTTGTAGTCTGGTGAATGAGACCACGTTGATTAAATACTCCAGATTGCCAACGATAAACAAGCATAGTTTCCGATACTTTGTCTTGGATAACAGTGTCATCCTGGCAATGCTGGAGCAACCTCTGGGAAATGAACAGAGTAAGTTTTAGCACTTCGAGCCTTCTCCACTGCTAAATCAGCATGTTCGTCTGTACTATCAAGCTGTTTCCAGAAGCAGGGAAAGAAAGACACAAGTTTTAAGTAATTTTGCATTTGACAAAAAGACTTTTAACTGTGGTACGATAGCAAGTGAAAAATAGAGGATCAGAAAATAGAATATGTGTATTAAATAGAATCTTTTAAAGGCCCTTTATGCACATCTGAAATATCAGAAAAGGTCTCTATAGTTTTATAGAAAGTCTTATTTTAATGTGTAAAAAACATCATTGTCAATCTTCCCTCCATCTTGAACTTTGGATCCTGCCCTTCCTCTGCTCTGTCCCTTACCCCCTCATTGTTCTGTTTCAGTTATTGGTGACACCCAAACAGACTGGAAATACAGGGAATCATTTTTTTCCTCCTCCTTCCTGTTACTCCACTATATAATTGGTTTCCCAGCTTCTACCTCTGCAGTGACTTTTGAATCTTTCTTTTCCTCTGCATTTCTGCCAGTACACCCAAATGCGGGGCCTTATTGTTTCTTACCTAGATTATTGCAGTTACTTCCTACCTGGTCTTATTCCCCCCAGCCTTGCCAATTCCATTCTGCTTGTTGCTGCTGCTGCCATAGTATTTATCCTGAAGTACAGATCTGACCATGCCTGTGCCCTCCTAAAACCCTTCAGTGATTCTCCATCTAGAGAACATTTACTGTTCTCCCTTCTTCTCTCTTCTTACTCTCATTATAAACTGTCTCAAGGTGTATGATTACCAGTGTGACTCAGCTACTCATAGTGCCTTTTGTCTTGATGGTAACTGGCATCAGCCAGTATGGAAAGGATGCATGCCCTCAGAAACCAAAAAATAAACCAAACCTGTTGCCGTTGAGTCAATTCCGACTCATAGCAACCCTATAGGACAGAGTAGAACTGCCCCCGAGGGTTTCCAGCGAGTGGCTGGTGGATTAGAACTGCCGACCTTTTGGTTAGCAGCTGAGCTCTTAACCACTGAGCCACCAGGGCTCCCATGTCCTCAAAGAGACTCTTATTACTAGGGGGATAAGGAGAGTGAAGATGACAAAACCTGTGGACATAAAAAGATCCAGGAAATAGCCTATTGTATGATACCCTGATTTACAGGTGAAGAAACTATAAATGTGCTTGGGGTACATGACTTGTCTAGGGTTGCTTGAGAAGTATATGGTGTGGCTGGGACTAGAAGCCAGATATTCTGAAACTCATACTGTCCCTTTCTGTGATGACTGCCACACAGTGATAGGATTTTATCAGTGATTAAAGACTTAGCTTTTTACTTTTGCAAAGGTGAACAGAGTCTTAGAGTCCCATGCAAATTCTGTTGAGTAGGATCGTTGTGGTAAGATACAGTGACTTTAATATGAACCAGATAGGGCCTTTTATCATTACCCAACTCCAGAAGTACTGGCCCCAAGTCTTTTCTGCAGACACCTCTTATTTTTCTGCCCTAGGCATTAGCCTTCTTTCCTGGCTTTGGCCTGTTATTCATGATTCCTCTAGCCTCCTACTCCCAAGCCACCTGCTAAGGAGGCTGCAAAACCTCTTCTGGCTTTCTAGCCTAAGGAGTAAGTGTGCAGCTTTTTGCCAGGTTTTTTAGGACTCCCTATCCTCATCCCAAGTGATTTTTATTATATACAGAGATTACCAAAAATATAAATGATTGGAATTTTATGTTTTTACAAGGACATTTTAATAGTTGATTATAATAGTTATAACAGAAGAAATGATAAAGAAATTTGAACAAGTTTGAATTCTACACCAGAGACCAGAGAAGAGAATGAGAAGAAGGATCAGGGTCACTCAGGAAGTCCATCCTGAGTTCTCTGCTTCCACTCATACTCCCACCCCCACCCTCTGTTTCTGCTGGGTTGGAACAGTACCTCCTGTGGTGGGCAGTGGCACACAAAGGCACGAGGTGAAAGTAACATCAACACTGCAGACACCTGGCGTGTCTTTCTGCACTTAGGTTGTTTCCAGCATTGGGAAGTTAAGAGTATTTGCTAAAATAGTGTTCCCCAAAAATGTATTAAGTGTACCACTGGAGGTACGTGAGATGATGTTAGTTCATACAGTGGTAAGCATTGTTTTATGTATTTTTTAAATGTGTATTTTTAAAATCAGTAACTGGCGCACCGGCCTCATGGTTTTCCTTTTAAAGTGGTGATACACAATTTCATTTTAAAATAAATAAGTAAAAGAAAGAAAAGGAAAAAAGAGACTAGTTAATTTAAAATAAGATAATGGTTCTTCTGGCACATAGGTCTGGCAGAAATGACAAAGATGGTACCCAAAAGACTGAAGTTTGGGAGACAGGTCTGGCAGAAATGACAAAGATGGTACCCAAAAGACTGAAGTTTGGGAAACAGCTCTGCCAGGGTTTTGCTGTGCAGTTGATAACAGGTTTATTTTAAATGGTTGTTGTCTTAAATAAAAACTTTTACACAAATATTTTATTCTAGATGATTTTTTCCCTTCTGTCACTGTCCTGGTCCGGGGAATGTCTGGAAGACTTGCTTGGGCACAACAACTCTGCCTTTTACCCAGAGGAGCAAAAGCAAATCAGAAGGTATCCATCAGAAGTTACAGGGAAGTCACTAGGAGTGTGTGTGTCTGTGAGCGTGTATATGTATATGTGTGCTGTCATATAAAGGTTAAATAACATTCCAACAGAAGTCACACAGATAAACTAAATATTTTTGATACCTAGCCAGGTTCTCAGGCAGTGGGTTCACATCAAAATTAGGAGCCTAGAATTCCAAACCTTCTGAATTACTGTTGAAAGACATCTTCCAGGCAGGTGCATGTTCACAGAACTTTCTAGGTGATTCTTAAGTTCACTTATGATGAAGAACTACTACCCTGAACAGTGGCCTCAATTTTTTTCATGCAGTGTTAAATATAATAAAAGTCAAGTACACACCACAGATGAAAAAATTCAGCCAGATCCTTGATGCCTATGGCAACAGGACTTAGTTTCAAATTGTTTAATATGATTTATCCCTGTATAACTTGGTAATATACAATGAAATCTTCCAAGGTGCAACAGTTTATTTATTTTTATAACTTTTGTGTTGTAATTTTATGAATAATACTTGCTTATGGAAGAAAAGTTGGAAAATGTGGATAATAAAAAATTTTTAAATCACCTGTACTCTCACTTTCCAGAGGTAGATAACCTGTTAATACTTCGGTGTATTTCCTTTCAATATTTTTTTCTTTCTATGTACAATAACACTTGAATAGAATTTGAGTCATTTTCTTGTACTGCTCTTTTTACTTCCATGCAGAGAACTCTGAGTGTACATGATTCCCACTTAGTGACAGAGGGAAGAGAGAAGAAATTGAGGCCACTGTTCAGGGCCCCAGTTGTAAGCTTTTACTTATGTTACTAAAAATATTTTTAAAACATGATTTAATAAAATTTTAATAGCATTTAAGAAAGTAAAACTCACAAAATTGGAGCGTGTGTCCAAAATCATTTAACATCCTAGACGTCTGTTACAACTGATACATGTTTAACCCCGTGAGAAGCACACCCCCTTTTCTCTCATGGCACTGTGCAGATCGCACTCTGTCAGCACCTCTGTAAACCACTAAGTTAGCATTAAAGACTAGAAGGGAGGAGATCAGGAAAGGAATTGAAATTTGTTGATCGTTTAATATGTGCCATGTACATTTTTATTTAATCCTCGCAACATCCCTGTGGTGGGTTATTTCCACTTTTCAGATGTGAAACTGAAATCATACAGCTAATTTACAGCAAGGATCTGAAACCCTGGAGGCCTAGATCTAGTGCCCATGCTCTTTCAGTTATGCCATGCTGAAGTTCTACTTGAACTCACTTTCTAGAGATGCTCATTGGACCTAAACGTGTACTGCATTATATGGAATGAGTTGAGAGCCCTAAGGAAGATGGAAGTTTGAGCCCTAAGCTCCAAAATACCTTATCCACTGACTTACTGCTGAGTACAGAAGGTTCAGGCCTGGGGCTGTAGAGGTCCACAGTCCATTTATCAGTCATAAAATCTGTAATAAGTTGGTGAACATTTTTATAAAATACAGTTGAATAGGCTAAAAAAACATCAAACTGTAGCACTTCTGTAAGTTTGAAAGCCACTGTTTTTAGGGTGTGTGATGTTTATTCTGCACACTTTGATTTAATGTATCAGTATATCCAATAAAAGACCTCTGACTGAAGAGTTTTAAAACAATATCACAGAAGTATCACAGACTTTGGACCCCTGGGAAGTTGGAGAAAGCTGAGTGTGAAGACTGCTAAGGAAGATTGGAAAAGAGGACCAGAGACAAACTTGGTCCACTTTACAGTTTGATTTCAGCCCAGCCTGGCATCCAGGTTCATAGGCTACTTTCCTTCATTGTAGAAAAGAGACATTTGCAGATTCTTACTGAGTTCCTATGACATATAATGTCCTAGGGAAATAGGCATCTAAGAGACGGGAAATACATGCTATTACAGATGGATAGTGGACCATATGTGATAAACATCATGTTATTTGTTTTATTTTAATAGCTCTTTGTGCCTGAACCTCGTCCAGTTCCTAAAAATGATGTTGGATTTAAATATACTGTAAAACATCGACCGTTTCCTGAAGAGGTAGACAAGATTCCTTTTGTGAAAGCAGATCTGAGCATCCCAGATTTGCATGAAATCGTCACTGAAGAAGTAAGATAAATTGTTTTTTAGCCATTGTTAAGGGAATGAATATAAACATTCTTAAATGACTTCCCTAAGGAGCCCTGGTGGCGCAGTGGTGAAGCGCTTGGCTGCTAACTAAAAGGTTGGTGGTTCGAACTTACCAGCAGCTCCGTGGGAAAAAGGTGTGGCAGTCTGCTCCCATAAAGATTTTTTGGGACTTTTCTACTCTGTCCTACAGGGTAGCTGTGAGTTGGAATTGACTTGACTGCAGCAAGTGTTAAATGACTTCCGTGGTCAAAACAGTGTCTTCAGTGTTACTGGAGGTGATTCATAAGATGACCTGGGTCTCTGTCATCCAGGAGGTTACCGTGTTGTAAAACACCTATGGATTGAAAGTAACTGGACAAACATGTTTCTTAGAGGTGTCAGTGGGCAGCTTGGTCTGGTCCATGGTAGGTTTCAGTAGTGGGTTGACACAATCAGACTCTTGTGAAGGAGATTTGGAGAAGAGAGACCATTTAGGAACTCTTATGACAATCCAGGCAGGGGAAAGGAAGGACTACTTTGCCAATATGGGGGCTTAAATATGTGAAATATATTAAGGAGGTAAGTCCAGTCAGTCTTGGATTGATGAAGGAGGGAAAAAAGCCAAAGAACTTTGGATTTTGAGCTTGAGTATAAAGAAGATAGTGGTGTCATTCACAGAAGTATGAATGTTAAGAAGAGGACAGGGCTTTAGATTAATTTCCCCTGGAAGGCTGTGTTTTATTGTATTGATCTCTTAAGGCAAGGGAGAATTTTAAGAACTGGGGACAAGCATGTCAGGGCATGAGGAAGTGTAAGGACAAGACAGAGGTGGCTTATACTGTCAAATGCTGAAGAGATTGAGGAGGATAAGGACTAAGAAAAGCCCCCTGGATTTTAGTATGAGATTGTAAGTAACCTTTGAGAGCAAATTCAAAGGAGTGTTAAAGTGGAAGGCATTGTATAAAGGCCTGGTAAGTGAATGGTAAGAAGGGAGAGGCAGTGAGTATAAACTACTGTGAGCAGTAAAGGGAAGGGTGTAGAGTGGATGGTAGCATAAACAAATAGCCTAGCAAAGGAAAGACAAGGCTATTTTCTTTCTTTTTTTTTTTAAGTTCAATGATGGGAGGAATATGAACATGCTTATAGTTGAAAGGAAGGAACCAGTCGAGAGGGGTCTGCTAACACTGTAAGATGGGCTGGGGAAATTATAAGTGATAGAGTAAAGCATTGGAGGCAGTAGAATCAAGAGTTCAGGTGTTTGTGAAACAGTATACTTCTGGTGAGACAGGAGGGAAGGAAAGAGTAGGTGAAGGTTCAGAGACATTTAGAGTTGGAAAGGAGGGAAATTATAAGAGTTTATGCAAATAATCTTGACAGTGTAATAAGCAATCAGTTAAAGATAGTTCTTAAAATTGCCAGGCAGCACTGAGGGCCAGCTGAGGGCCCAGTAAGTAGCATAATCTGTAGTGAAGTTCCTAAACTCTACTTTCTTCAGTGTCAGATTCTTGAGATCTGGGAGCATAAATAAAGAATTTGAATGGTGTGGAGATTGACAGGTGGAATTATGGAAGGATAAAGGATAGCACAGCCATGCTATGTGCTAAGAAGGTTCTAAGATGTTAGACTGGGGGATTTAGGCTTGGTTGGGATGGAGACAAGCCAGGAAGATACTAATGGACTGGGAAAATCAGGGGTGGGGGGTGGGGGGAGACCTTGACTGCCTCAAGGTGTCAGTGGTGGTAAAGCATGGGCTCAGGGGTAGTGAAGGTGAGGTAGAGCTGTAGGAAGGGACTTGGGAATTGTAGCTCTTTAAACTAGAGCAAATCTGAGGGACAGACGGAGTGTACTTGTGGATGGCCAAAGTTGTGAAGGTTGAGGAAGCTGTAGAAATATAAGCAAGGTTGTTGGAAGGATCATTGCTCAACAAAGAAGATAGGATTTTAAATTAGAATTGATTGGAGGGAAAGGGAGGGAGCAGGGAGGAGTACCCGAGAACATAGTCCAGTATCACATGGGTGGGGAATTCAAAACCATGAGGAGGATGAAGACAGTGATCTGGAAGTTGGGGGGTGGGTGCGGCAAGACTCTATCCTCTTTCTTGCCTTTTGAAGGGAAGCATAGAAAGTTTCATTTATAGTGAGGAGATGGAGTGATTTGGTTTTTGTTTTGACCTTGAAACATGTTTACTTAGTTGCATTCTCTGTAATAAGCTGAAACTTAGTATTGGTCAGTGTAATTTATTTTGTTGCTTGTAGCATTACTTTCATATTAAAATTAAGATTGACCCTATTACTTTTATAATCACTCCAGAAATTGAAATATTTGGTTTATTTCAGCTAGAAGAGAGACATGAAAAATTAAGGAATGGCATGGCTCAGCAGATTGCTTATGAAGTGCGCCTTGAACAACAAAGTGAGGAGGAGTTTCGCAAGAAAAGCTTTCCTGATCCAATTACAGATTGTAAGCCCCCACCTCCTGCCCAAGAGTTCCAGACAGCACGCCTTTTCCTTTCACACTTTGGATTTTTGTCGTTAGAAGCATTGAAGGTAATTTTCTTAAACTTTTATGAGTAAATATATTCATAAATTAACATTCTGCTGATAATAACTAAAGCATTTTTATGAGACTAGAAGGAATTAAAAAATAAAAATAAAAACTGGTTAAAATCTTACCCTGCATGCAAGTGAATGAAATTCTCTGCTGCTATTAGGTGGCAGTCCTAGCTTCAAGACACTTCATTCCATTAGTGTATTCAGAGTTCTTCCTAAGAGGAATGCTTTAATTGCTTTAATACTACACCCAGTTCTGAATTTTCCTTGGTAATGTAGGACCTGTATCACACATATAAATTAAACGTATACATATTAAGAAAAAGAATATTAAAAATCTTCCCCTAGTAGATTTTATTACTGAAAGTGTGGGTTACAATTGACTCTGCTTTTTCATGCCACTTTTAAAAAGGGGTGGAGTTAATACAGTAATATGTGTGAGCCAGGCACTTCTTAAATGTTGTACAGTGTCTGAAGTCTGTCTAGGTTTATATCCTGGCATCACTACTTATTAGCTGTGTGGTCTTGGGCAAGTTACTTGACTTTTGTGAGTTGTAGTTCCTCATCTATGAAATGGGAATGATAAAAGTATCCATCTCATTAGTCATGTGAGGATTAAATGAGTTAATACTTTTTTAACACAAAGTAAATTAGCTTTTAAGATAAATATTACGATTATTCTTAAAACAATTTTACAAGCAAAGTGATACTATCCCTGTTTTAGATATGGAAACAGGGGCTCAAAAATGTGAAATAACTTGCCTAAAGGTGAATTTTGGGTTTGTACTAAGGCCTGTTTGTTTTAAAAAGCACACTGGAGATTGCCAGGCACAAAATGCTTATTGTATGAGCTGTTACCTGCTTTAATTCCCTAGCAGCTACTTGATCATCGGCCATTTCAGGGTGAGGAGAGCATTGCTGTCTGATTTTAGATTTTAGCATGTAGGGGGAAAATAAAAGAGTATGGGTTGTGAAACATACTTTACATTGTAGAAAATTGAGTTAGTGATGGGGAGTATGAACATAAGAACTCTCTTACAATGCAGAAGAAAAGAGCAAAGAGGAAAATAATGAGAAATATAATGTAAATATGGAATGCAGGGAACAACGATCCAGCCTACAAATGATTAATGATATTCCTAGTGAAGAAACTAGAGCAGAGTAGAAGCAGTAAATGAAAATAATGCTAGAAGAAAAGTATTACATCCTGTAGACTATAGGGACACAAGAAGAGCTCTAGTAGCCCTGCCTCTGAGATTGTAATTTTACGTTCATGTTTTCTATTTTGGTTGAAATTTTTAAGCTTTCATGAAAATAAGAGCTTTCTCATATGCTTCAGAACATAGGAAAAAGTCAGGAAGTTGCGTGGTGGTTTGCTTTATGAATCTTAGCATATCTGTAATAAACTTAAACCTAGCAGCACACATATATAAAAAACTATAAATTAATCTTACTTATGAATATATCTATAAAAGTATTAAAGAGAATGCTAGTAAAACTGAATTCATTAGCATGTTCAGTAAATTATCTTCCACAACCAAATAAAGTTTGTCTCAGGAATTCATGGGCAGTTCCTTACTAGGGAGTATTAGTAAAGCTATTAAGAAAATAATTTAATCCTTTTAGTAGATGGTTAATTCATTAACCAATAAAGCAATACTAATTCTGATTTTAAAATTAAAACAAACAAGCACCTAGCCAGGACTAGATGTGTATGTAGGCCCTTACGTTAAAGTTTACTGCCCTAAATGAGAGCTTGTGGGGAAACTAGAGGCACCCCTGGTTAAAATCAGAATGTCTACATTGACCACTGTTTAACACAGAAATTTTCAGTCAAATTTTTTTTACTTTTTGTTCTGAAATAATTGTAGATTAATAGGAAGTTGCCCAAAACATGCGCAGGGAGGTTTTATGCACATTTCACCTAGCTTCCTCCAGTGATAACATCTTACATAACTGTAGAACAATATCAAAACCAGAAAAATCAATGAAATATTAAAAGAAATTAAGAGATCAGAACTATTAGAAGGGAGACAGTTTACAAGTAACATGACTTCTGGTTGTTAAACATGAGAGTTGATAAAATACTTAAAATGAATGAGTTAAGATCTTTACACACAAAAAATTAATATACTGTAGTTGGCAATATCCAGTTAAAAAATAGCATGCAAAAAAAAATCTACACCTGTGATACTGACAAAAGTTATGGGAAGAAACTGTACAAGACCTAGAGGAAGAAACTTTAAAAGCAAGAAGAATGAGGAAGCTTTGCCCTACAAGGTATATTACAACATGCTGCAGATCCACAATTCTTTATCCATGATTTTGAAGTAAAAACACTGTAAACTAGTTTTTTTTTTTTTTGTAACATTGTAGCACATTCATTTAGAGGTAAAATCTGACCTGAATTGACATGAGGTTATTTGTAGTCTTTACTTATTTCACTTATTGTGAATACTCTTCTGTTTAACTACAGAAATACTAATGTATTTGATTATAGGGTATTGCCCCAGCTTCAGCTAGAAATGTTATGTAATAGATAAGCAAACCAGGCCCACAATCTTTGGCAATGTAGAAAAGAGTAATCTTTGCCATCTCTGGGGGATGGTTCCCTGAAAAAGTACCATGGTTGGCAGAACCTTGTTTGGCAAGATCAAGATCTCAAAGAAGATAAGGCACTGGGGGAAAGCAAACAAAAAATACATTTTCTTTTTTTAATGTGCTTTAAGTGAAAGTTCACAGTTCAAGTTAGTTTCTCATGCAAAAATTTATACACACATTGTTATGTGACCCTAGTTGCTCTCCCTTTAATGTGACAGCACACTCCTCCTTTCCACCCCGGATTTCCCGTGTCCATTCAACCAGCTACTATCTCCTTCTGCCTTCTCATCTTGCCTCTGGACAGGAGCTGCCCATCTAGTCTCACGTATCTATTTGAGCTAAGAATAACAAGCACTCTGTTCACGAGTATCATTTTATTTCTCAATGTCCAGTGTAATCTTTCTCTGAAGAGTTGGCTTCTGGAATGGTTTCAGTTCTGGGCTTACAGAGAGTCTGGGGACCATGTCTTCTGGGGCCCCTTCAGTCTCAGTCAGACCATTAAGTCTGGTCTTTTTAATAGAATTTGAGTTCTGTACCCCACATTTCTCCTGCTCCATCAGGGACTGTCTGCTGTGTTCCCTGTCGGGGTGATCATTGCTGGTAGCTAGGTACCATCTAGTTCTTCTCTTTTCAGGCTGATGAAGTCTCTGGTTTATGTGGCCCTTTCTGTCTTGGGCTACTACTTCCCTTGTGTCTTTGGTGTTCTTCATTCTCCTTTGCTCCAGTTGGATTGGGACCAGTAGATGTATCTTAGATGGCTGCTCGCTAGCTTTTAAGACCCCAGACGCCACTCACCAAAGTGGGGTGCAGAACATTGTATTAATAAACTTTGTTATGCCAGTTGACCTAGATGTCCCCTGTGACTCTGTCCCTCAAAGTGTTTGCTTGTATTCAGGAAACTTCTTAGCTTTTGGTTTAGTCCAGTTGTGCTGACTTCCCCTGTATTGTGTGTTGTCCTTCCCTTCACCTAAGATGATTCTTGTCTACTATCTAGTTAGTGAATACCCTCGTCCCTCCCTCCCCACCCTCTTAACCATGAAAGAATGTTTTCTTCTGTGTTTAAAACTTTTCTTTAGTTCTTATAATAGTGATCTCATACAATGTTTGTCCCTTTGGACTGACTAATTTCACTCAGCATAATGCCTTCCAGATTCATCCATGTTATGAGATGTTTCATGGACTCATCGTTGTTCTGTATCATTGCATAGTATTCCATCGTGTGACTATACCATAATTTGTTGTCCATTCATCCTTTGATGGGCACCTAGGTTGTGTCCATCTTTTTGCTGTTGTGAACAGTGCTGCAGTGAACGTGGGTGTGCTTATATCTATTCGTTTGACAGGTCTTATTTCCCTAGGATATATTCCAAGGAGCAGAATTGCTGGATCATATGGTACTTCTGTTTCTAGCTTTTTAAGGAGGTGCCAAATCGATTTCCAAAGCGGTTGTACCATTTTACATTCCCACCAACAGTATATAAGTGTTCAGTCTTCCCACAACCTCTCCAACATTTATTATTTTGTGTTTAATTAATTAATGCTAGCCTGGTTGGGGTGAGATGGTATCTCATTGTAGGTTTGGTTTGCATTTCTCTAATGGCTAATGATCATGAGCGTTTCTTCATGTGTCTGTTAGCCACCTGAATATCTTCTTTGGCAAAGTGCCTGTTCATATCCTTTGCTCATTTTTTAATTGGGTTATTTGTCATTTTGTTGTTGAGGTTTTGCAGTATCTTGTAGATTTTAGAGATTAGACGCTGATCGGATTTATGGTAGCCAAAAATTTTTTCCCAGTCTGTAGGTTGTCTTTTGGCTCTTTTGGTGAAGTCTTTTG